AGAAGAGTGGAGGGAAAAGATGCGATAACAACAAAATATTTTATTTCAAAACTATACAAAATGTTTCACAGCCAGCAGTTTTATTCGTAAAACAGAAAAAATCATACATTCTTGTCTGTAAACGTCTTCTTCTTGAACTATAATACTATAATGAACATGTGTAGCTCATTTCTTACGTCTTTTAGATAGATCTTCTAAACTGATTGTATTAAAGCGCAAATCCATTCCTCGACATGCAGTTGAAAGGAATTTAAAAAAATATCTAATGGACGACAGGTCATTCAGAAAATCTGGAAAAAAGATTAAACAAGATGTATCAAGTTAAATACCTCGGCTACATATTTGATTGCAGTTTATGCCATGATGTTAACTCGATCCTGGGGGAAGATAGCAGTGAATATTCTAGGATCACTGCTGAGACAAAAGGGCATAAAATTACCGTCACCAAATATTATTGTCAGTATATACATTATATCCGTGAAACAAGCTACACAGTTTTCATGACATCGCTACAATTCGAGGCGATCACAGTTTCATTCAAACGACCACTGCCACGCCGTTTTTCCAGACTTCCGGGATCTTTGAAAATTTCCCACGAGCATTCCCTGTACTTTTCCCCGGAGTTCTCCCAGGCTACTGCTCGATGGCTTGTAGAACCACATGCGTCAAACGATTGCACGTCCTGACTTACCATCTTATCACGGTCCCTCCAGTCCCTCTCACTGAGTAGTGGCACAGGGCATCCACTCTTTCCCCTCAATGTCCCTTGCTGTGAAATTAAACGATGTCACTATAGATACAAACTATGTTAAAAACGTTCAGAAGAATACCAACTAAACCACACACCAACCGATCGAACTGAGAGCAAGCGACCAACCCGCCCATCCCAAACAACCAACCGACTCATCAACTAACCAACTGACCAATCCAACCAAGCAATGGACCCACCAACCAACCAACCAACCGACCGAGCGACCGATYAAACCACCTCAATAAACCGACACACCAAACCAACCAACCAACCAACTGACCAATCCAACTAAGCAATCGAACCTCCAACCAACCAACCAACCGAGCAACCGATCAACCCACACCTCAGTGAACCGACCCACCAAACCAACTCAACCAATACATGAAGGTATCTTTGATGTATAAATTGTCTGTAATGTAAAACTCAAAAGTGTTTTGGACTGAATACTTACAAATACACTGGTAGAGCTGGTATCTGGAGGCACATATTGATTTATAGGACTAATCGTCACTGGTCCACTTGAATCACACACAAGCGTGATTTCTGTTGACCTGAACACAACGTGTAATTGGAGCGCAATGAATGACGTGATTTAAAGGAAAACAAGACCCCGCGCCACCACACAGTATATGTTCTACTTTGCACTTCTATCTTATTTCTCGTTGTTCTTTACGTACTGCTTAAGGGTCGCGGAAGGCCTTTGAAAAGTGGTGTAACAATATACATGGAGAATAATAAGTTTGTTCATTAGAAAAAAGGATCGCGCGATTACCCTTCCCTAAGATATGCATGTTTGCGCAATTTATAACAGATGGTTATCTGATATATAAACATTGTCCTTTTTCTCATATTTTATGGACAATTTCAGCATTAATTTCCCCAAACAATAACTTTGTCCCGTCATGATAAATCCACCAATTGCAATACTGCATGGAGTATAAGCCCACCTCGAACACAAAACAAATCATAACTAGCTAGTCAGGTATACAACAGGTGACGGCTGTGCTATATTTTACCTTGTGTAATATGAGTAGGTTGTTTCTGGGTATTTCAGAACAACATTGTTGTTGCTATCGACAGTAAACGACGGGCCCCCTGTGTTGCACGGATAGTAGGATATTGTTGGTGCTCCAGCTACTGTATTGCATCTATTTGGCACATCTAA